TTATATGGATTATATTATACAATTATATTGGAATGAAACAATATAATGAAACTCATTTATGTTTCAATGCCAACTAATTAACTTATTCTTTCATTTATTGTTTTTGCTCTTCACTTCATTATTTATTGTTGTAAAAGAATTTTTTTTCAATCGTTTTTTCATTAAATTTATATAATTATATATAAATTTATATATTTATATATAGAGATTAATAAAATATTAATTTTAATAAATGATAATTTTAATAATTTGATTTTATATTTAAAAAATTTTATCATAATAATTTATTATTAATATATTTAAAATTTTATAATAAATAATTTATAATTTATAATTTATAATTTATAATTTATATACTGAAACTAAGCTTTTATTTATAGAATGATCTATTATAGTTTTATTTATAGAATGATCTATTATAGTTTTTTATTTATTAATTTATTATATTGAGTATTTTTTTCTATGCGATAAATATATTCAATATTTATACGATAAACAAAAAATGTAAATATAAGATAATTATCATAAATGCAAAATCATATAAAAAATTCTCAAAGCATACTGCTTTGCGTTGTTTCATGAATAAAGAATCAAAATAATTTATAATGAAACATGTGAAAAATGTGACTATTGCACATTGAATTATTCTTGATTATAACGTTATATAAAAAGTGTACGTGTAAATAGTTGTTTAATATGCACATATTTCACACATTGTATGAAAATTTCCGAATTATTTTACGAGTATAATACGTAATTTCAAAAATTCATGAATTAAATTTATACAAAATATTTCTTAATTAATTTTCATTATATGAAAATTTTACTATTCCTATATGGAATAAGTTCTTGCGAATTGGAATTTCATTTAATAATACTTTTTAAATAATTCGAAAATTCATTATATATTCTAAATGATGTTTTAAATTTTTTCTTGATCATGTAGTCATATATATATATATATTTTTATATAGTCATCAAACTAGTCGAGTTAAACTATCATGATGACTTGAAAAAAATAAATGTAATCGTTTAATTTATTCATAGTTTATCCAATCAATTATCGTCTCAAAAAATATTTTTTTCTCGACGTTTTTGCAAATTCGAAATATTGAAATTTAAATAAAATCAAGAAATATTATCTATCATAAATTATATATCGGTTAATAATAAATTGATAAATATTATCACAATATCATTATTCAAATAAAGTTCGAATATTATTAGAAATTAATTTGTAATATTTAAATTGTACCAAATTATAGAAATCAGAGATAAATTAATAATAAAAAATAATATTTATTGTCTTTTATGCAATAATTTTAATAATTAATAATAAAATTTTAAAAATTAATTATAAATTTGATAAATTACGAATAATTTTTTTTTTAATTTTTATAATTTCATATTAAGTAAAATGATCAAATAATATGTATAATTTTTAAAATTTGCTTGTAAAACTTTATTTGTTTTATTATTATTATTATTATAAATTATGAAAAATTTCATTAATAATATTAATCTAATTGCAAGATAATTCATCGGTAATTCAAATTATTTAATATAAAATTTCATCAGTATATATATTTTGTATGTATTTATATAATATTAATAATATTTAAAATAATCATTAATAATATTTAAAAGAATTTTTTTATTTATTTAATAATTAATAATTAGATAATTTTTAATAAAAAAAATAATTTGAAGAAATATAATTTTTCAAATAACAATAAAATATAATATAAAAATTCTTTTTATTATTATATAATACATTTTTCAAATTTATTTTTTAATATAATAGTTTATTCTATTATACAAGGATATATTAATCTGAAAGATAAAATTATTGCAAATTTTTCAATCACAGATATATCAATCTGAAAGATGAAATCATTACGATAAAATATTTTTGAAGTAATGTATTTATTTATAATAAATATTATATCATAAATAATAAATATATAAAAAATTTGAAGAGAATCTTATGTTTCATTAGAAGAATATTAACATTATTCATATTACGTCATTACGTAATTACATTTGACCAAATATTGTAAAAAAAACTACTGAAAAAAAAAAAAAAAAGAAAATATAGAACCAATAAAAATGATCTTTTATTAATTATATTGTATATTAAATCTTTATTTCTCGATTATAAATTTTAATTAATAGAAAAATAAAAACAAAATCAAAGTTTTAATATGTCAAGATATACTTCGAGTTTGATATTAGACGAATTTTTTAATAAAAGATGGATTTTAAATGAAAGAATGTGTTTGATATGAATATAATAATAATAATAATAATATATATATTATAATTATGTTATATATAATTAATATAATTATATAATTAATTATATTAAATAATAATATAATTATATGTTATAATAATAATATAATAATATAATAAATATTCAAAATTATTTCAACAGAAATATAAAAAATTCTCGTACATAGATATTGTATACCAGTTATTATACATAAAATTTTATAAAAATAATAATCAAGATTTTTATAATCTTTTAAATAAACGAACTTCAATCAAATTAATTTCAAATTTTTTTATTAATTAGATTAAATTAAAATTAAAAATCAAATAATATTAAATGAACAAGCATGGCAATATTTTTTAAATGAATGATTCAATGATTCAAAAACAATTCTTATTAATGTTCTTCCTATGGTTCATGATCTATTATTAAGAAACTTAAAAAATTTTAATTTCCATAAATTAGCAATTTGCGCTCGATAAAAGAGTAAATCTCTTAATGAAAATTTATTAAATATTGTTCATATACAAAAATTATTTTCAAATATATATA